CCTTGGATGGGCACAGCTGGGGGGGGAGGTGGTGCCCCCCCTTACCTTGGATGGCCACAACTGGGGAGGGGTGGTGCACCTCCGACATGGAATGGGAACAGCTGGGGGGGGGTGGTGCATCTCCCATTGTCTGAAGGTAAGCTGGGGGTGGTGGATATCCAGGCTTTTGAGGTAAGGGATGGTACGTTGTACAGGAAGAAGATATTAGTAAGGCTGGGGGGGGTACCTTGAGCGGGCTTGGAGCAAGGCTGGGGAGGGGTGGTGGTGCACCCCTCCCTTAGCTTGAATGAAAATGGACGCCAAATGGAGAACTCTCCGAAAAGGAGAGGCAGAAGGAATTTTGATAAAATCTAGTAACCATTACCTGGCAGATGGGGAAATATCGATAACACTGTACCGATCTGTAAATTAGTGAAACAACTTGGAACTACTTGGAAGAAGCTTAAAGGATCCGCAAAATTTAGGAAATTCACACCAAAAAATCGGGAGGTATTCTTGGCATAAAAATTGTTCTTATTGGTATTTTGCGCCTTGATATGGCTGGGTAAAAGATTTTAACTGAAGGCCCGAGAACTCGATAACCTTATAAATACATATAAATATTATAATTTTTATTATAAATATCATAGTAATAAAATTTATACTATAAACATTAATATTATATATGTTATATTTCTGACTAATATCTTATATTATGTGAATATTTTTGCAAAGCTGGAGGGTTGCGAAGGTTTTAATATATTATATTTACAGCTGCTATGGTCTGGCCATGAATCCAAATATTACTAATTTCTAAGCAGAAATGAATTTTAATTTTGATTTTTTAAAAAGGAAAAATATATATATATATTTTTTTATTTTTTTTTTCTTATCTTGTTTTTCCTATTACGAAAATTTATGTGGCATTGTTCCAACGGCACGGTCTGCGCAACATTTTCAATTTGATTTAGTATTCTCCGCTTATATATAATACTCAACGCACAGAGACCAGGCGGCTGGGAAGGAAACAAAACTAAATATAGAATTAAACAAAAAAAGTGAGAAAATTCCTTATTTAATACTGAAAAAATGGCTTACAGGCATAATCTTGCAAACCCGGCACAGATCTGGTTTGTCAGCAAAGTTGCCGCCCACAGGTTTTGGCTTATGCCCAATCAGGTCCCAATTGGGCCCCTGACACCCCTAGGCGTATATATGCGCAATGCTTAAGGACATAAGAAAAAAATTCTATCGTATTTTTTTATCAGAAATATAGCGTGTCTGAAAAATAAATCTCAAATTATTTGAAAGATTATATGCCAAGAAATGACAGTTTTGGTGTTAAGAACCACACGGCTTGACGTAGATCAAGGACCGTTCCTTGTGCCATTCCTTATACCACGATACAGAAGCATCAAACCAAATGCACAATATTATGAATCGGAATGTTTTTTTCAGCCTTTCCAAATGGATGTAGAAGAAAAAAAACAGAGGTAAGTGGTATCGTTTAAAATTTCGAATTTATTTTTATGGTATTTTTCGCAATTAGCCATATTTTTTTTCGCAATCGAAAAATATTACCTTTGACAATTTATTATGTTTTTCTTTCGCAATTAAATTATACTCTCAAGGTATACCAGATAAAGCGCCAGAATGTTTGCCAGATAAAATACCAGAAGATTTACCAAATAGAATAACAGAAAA